CCCCAAAACCCCCCCGGGGGGGGCCCCAAAACCTTCCCCAGGAGGGCCCTGAAACCCCCCAAAATTGGGGGAAAAACCCCAAAAACACCCTCGGGGGAGTCCCCAAAATTTGGGGAGGGGTCTCAAATTATTGGGAGGGGTCCCAAATTATTGGGGGGGGTCCCAAATTATTGGGGGGGGTCCCAAAATTTTGGGGGGGGTCCCTAATTTTGGGGTGTCCCCACAGGAACGTGAAGAAGATTCGGGGGAACCTCCTCTGGTATCCAAAATTTTGGGGGACTGGGGGGGGTCCCAAAAATTTGGGGAGGGTCCCAAAAACTTGGGGAGGGTCCCAAAATTTGGGGAAGGGTCCAAAAAATCGGGGGGGGTCCAAAAATTTGGGGAGGGGTCCAAAAATTGGAGGGAAAGGGCCAAAAATTTGGGTCTTAAAAATTTGGGGGGGAAATTTGGGGGCTCCTAAAATTTTTGGAGGGGTCCCAAAATTTGGGGGAGGGTCCCAAAAATTTGGGGAGGGGTCCCAAAAAATTTGGGGGGTCCCAAAATTTGGGGAGGGGTCCAAAAATTGGGGGGAAAGGGCCAAAAATTTAGGGCCTAAAAATTTTGGGGGGGGAAATTTGGGGGCTCCTAAAATTTTTGGGGGGGTCCCAAAATTTGGGGGAGGGTCCCAAAATTTGGGGAGGGGTCCCAAAATTGGGGTGAAACCCCCAAATTTTGGGATTTGCCCCCAAAATTGTTTCTTAATTTGGATTCAGGTACCAACAGGAACTCGAGGTGAGGGGGGAGGACCCCAAATTTTGGGGGGTTTTGGGGGGTCCTGAAATTTGGGAGGGGCCCCAAAATTTTTGGGGGGGTCCTGAGAATTGGGGGCTGATTTTTGGGGTGTTTGGGTTAATTTGGGTTAATTTTGGGGCTTCCTGGGGTTGGTTTTTGGTGAATTTCGAGGGGATTTGGGGTTGATTTTTGGGTTAATTTTGGGTGAATTTGGGGCTGATTTTTGGGTGAATTTGGGGCTGATTTTTGGATGAATTTGGGGTGAATTTGGGTTGAATTTGAGGCTGATTTTTGGGGAAATTTGTTTTGAATTTGGGGCTCATTTTTGGGTTAATTTTGGATGAATTTGGGTTGAATTTGGGGCTGATTTTTGGGTGAATTTGGGTGGGATTTGAGGCTGATTTTTGGGTTAATTTTGGGTGAATTTGGGGCTGATTTTTGGGTGAATTTGGGTGGGACTTGAGGCTCATTTTTGGGTTAATTTGGGTGAATTTGGGGCTCATTTTTGGGTGAATTTTGGGTAAATTTGGGGGTTCCTGGGGTTGATTTTTGGGTTAATTTGGGTGGGATTTAGGGTTGATTTTTGGGTGAATTTGGGTTGAATTTGGGGCTGATTTTTGGGTGAATTTGGGTGGGATTTGAGGCTCATTTTTGTGTGAATTTGTTTTGAATTGGGGTTGAATTTGGGGCTGATTTTTGGGTTAATTTACGTTGAATTTGGGGCTGATTTTTGGGTAAATTTGGGTTAGTTTGGGTTTGTTTTTGGGTAAATTTGTTTTGAATTTGGGGCTCTTTTTTGGGTTAATTTTGAGTGAATTTAGGGCTGATTTTTGGGTTAATTTTGGGTGAATTTGGTTGAATTTGGGGCTGACTTTTGGGTGAATTTGGGGTTGATTTTTGGGTTAATTTTGGGTGAATTTGGGTTGAATTTGGGGCTGATTTTTGGGGTAAGTTGGGGGGGATTTGAGGTTCATTTTTAAGTTAATTTTGGGTGAATTTGGGTTCATTTTTGGGTCAATTTAGGTTTAGTTTTGGGTGAATTTGGGTGGGATTTGGGGCTCATTTTTCGGTTAATTTTGGGTAAAATTGGGCTGAATTTGGGGCAGATTCTTGGGTGAATTTGGGGCTGATTTTGGGTGAATTTGGGTTAAATTTGAGGCTCATTTTTGGGTTACTTTGGGCCGAATTTGGGGTCAGTTTTGGGGCTTTTGGGTTCATTTGGGTTTTGGGGTCCCCAGAGCTCAATTTTTATGGCGGTTTGGGAGGATTTTGAGTTAATTTTGGGTGGATTTGGGTCATTTTTGCATCAATTCTGAGTTAATTTGGGTTGAATTTGGGGTTGATTTTTGGGTGAATTTGGGGCTGATTTTTGAGTAAATTTTGGGTGAATTTGGGTTGAATTTGGGGCTGATTTTTGGGTGAATTTGGGTGGGATTTGAGGCTGATTTTTGGGTTAATTTTGGTTGAATTTGGGTTCGTTTTGGGGTGAATTTGGGGCTGATTTTTGGCTGAATTTGGGGCTGATTTTTGGGCAAATTTACGTTGAATTTGGGGCTGACTTTTGGGTGAATTTGGGGCTCATTTCTGGCTGAATTTTGGTGGGATTTGAGGCTCATTTTTGGGTAAATTTGGGGGGTTTCTGGGGTTGATTTTTGGGTTAAATTTGGGTGGGACTTGAGGTTCATTTTTGGGCTAATTTTGGGTGAATTTGGGTGGGATTTGAGCTTCATTTTAGGGTTAATTTTGGGTGAATTTTGGCTCGTTTTTAGGTGATTTTGGGGCTGACTTTTGGGTGAATTTGGGGCTGATTTTTGGCTGAATTTGCGGCTTATTTTTGGGTAAATTTCCGTTGAATTTGGGGCTCATTTTTGGGTAAATTTGAGTCATTCTTGGAATGTCCCCCCCCAGCCCGCGGTTAGTCCTCCGAGCCGCCAGGCGGCGCTGAGCGATGACGTGGCGCGCCTGCGCCGGGAGGTGTCGCGCATGCGCGACGAGGTGCGGCGCCTGCAGCGGGCGCTAGGGGGCGCTCAGGAGGCGGCGCTCGGGCTCGGTGAGTCCCCCCCGGAAACCGCGACCGAACACGAACGTTCCGGCCCCAAAAAAGGACCTTTTTGGGGTCCCCCGGAGGAATCCGGGGGGGGTTTTGAGAGGATTTGGGGTCCTGGGGGGCTTTGGGGGGGTCCTGGGGGGGTTGGGGGGTCCTTTGGGGTGATTTTGGGGGGTCCCTGGGTGGGTTTTGGGGTCCCTTGGGGTAATTTTGGGAGCTCTTGGGCCCATTTTGGGGTCTTTTGGGAGTGGTTTTGGGGGGTCCCGGGCCCATTTCAGGGTCCTTTGGGGTAATTTTGGGGTCCCTGGGTGGATTTTGGGGGGTCTTGGGCCCATTTTGGGGTCCCTTGGGGTGATTTTGGGGTCCCTGGGGGGGTTTTGGGGGGCCTTGGGGGGGCTTGGGGGGTTTTGGGGGGGCTTGGGGTGGTTTTGGGGTCCCTTGGGGGAATTTTGGGGTCCTTGGGGTGATTTTGGGGTCTCTGGGTGGGTTGGGGGTCCTTTGTGGAGGGTTTTGGGGTCCTTGGGTGGATTTTGGGGTCTCTTGGGGTGATTTTGGGGGTGGTTTTGGGGTCCTTGGGTGGGATTTTGGGGTCCTTTGGGGTAATTTTGGGGTTTCCTGGGTGGGTTTTGGGGTCCCCTGGGCTGATTTTGGGGTCTCTTGGGGTGATTTTGGGGTCCCTTGGGGTGATTTTGGGGTCTCTTGGGGTAATTTTGGGGTTCCTGGGTGAGTTTTGGGGTCCCTGGGCTGATTTTGGGGTCCCTTGGGGTGATTTTGGGGTCCCTGGGTGGGTTCTGGGAGCTCTTGGGGTGATTTTTGGGATGGTTTTGGGGTCCCTGATCCCATTTTTGGGGTCCCAACCCCCATTTTTTGGGCCCCAATCCCCAATTTTTGGGCGCCAATTCCCCATTTTTGGGTCCCCAACCCCATTTTTGGGGTCTCTGATCCCATTTTTGGGCCCCAATCCCCAATTTTTGGGGTCCCAACTCCCTTTTTTGGACCCCAATCCCCCATTTTTGGGTCCCAACCCCCATTTTTGGGGTCTCTGATCCCATTTTGGGCCCCAATCCCCCATTTTTTTGGGTCCCAATCCCCATTTTTGGGGTCCCTGAACCCATTTTTGGGGTCCCAACCCCCATTTTGGGGTCTCTGCCCCCCTTTCCCCCCTCCCCGCCCCCAGAGGAGTCGCTGCGGTCGGGGCGGAGCCGGATGTGGGCGGAGCGTTGCCGGGGGG